GTATTAGTTAAAACCGTCACCTTATGTTTCTAATGTTATGTACCTGAATCAGAAATGTCTTATATGTTTGTACAACCTGTATTAGTTTAAACCTCCACCTTATGTTTTTAATGTTATGTACCTGCATCAGAAATGTCTTACATGTTTGTACAACCTGTATTAGTTAAAACCTCAACCTTATGTTTCTAATGTTATGTACTTGAATGATAAATGTCTTATATGTTTGTACAACCTGTATTAGTTAAAATCCCAACCTTATGTTTCTAATGTTATGTACCTGCATCAGAAATGTCTTATATGTTTGTACAACCTGTATTAGTCAAAACCTCCACTTTATGTTTCTAATGTTATGTACCTGCATCAGAAATATCTTATATGTTTGTACAACCTGTATTAGTTAAAACCTCCACTTTATGTTTCTAATGTTATGTACCTGTATCAGATAATGTCTTATATGTTTGTACAACCTGTATTAGTTAAAACCTCAACCTTATGTTTGTAATGTTATGTACCTGAATGAGAAATGTCTTATATGTTTGTACAACCTGTATTAGTTAAAACCTCCACCTTATGTTTCTGATGTTATGTACCTGCATCAGAAATGTCTTATATGTTTGTACAACCTGTATTAGTTAAAACCCCAACCTTATGTTTCTAATGTTATGTACCTGCATCAGAAATGTCTTATATATTTGTACAACCTGTATTAGTTAAAACCTCCACCTTATGTTTCTGATGTTATGTACCTGCATCAGAAATGTCTTATATGTTTGTACAACCTGTATTAGTTAAAACCTCCACCTTATGTTTCTAATGTTATGTACCTGCATCAGAAAGGTTTTATATGTTTGTACAACCTAACCTGTATTAGTTAAAAACTCAACCTTATGTTTCTAATGTTATGTACGAGCATCAGAAATATCTTATATGTTTGTACAACCTGTATTAGGTGAAACCTCCACCTTATGTTTCTATTGTTATGAACCTGCATCGGAAATGTCTTATATGTTTGTACAACCTGTATTAGTTAAAACCTCAACCTTATGTTTCTAATGTTATGTACCTGCATCAGAAATGTCTTACATGTTTGTACAACCTGCATTAGTTAAAACCTTCATGTTATGTTTCTAATGTTATGTACCTGCATCAGAAATGTCATATATGTTTGTACAACCTGTATTAGTTAAAACCTCCACCTTATGTTTCTAATGTTATGTAACTGAATCAGAAATGTCTTATATGTTTGTACAACCTGTATTAGTTAAAACCTCAACCTTATGTTTCTAATGTTATGTACCTGAATGAGAAATGTCTTATATGTTTGTACAACCTGTATTAGTTAAAACCTTCAACTTATGTTTCTAATGTTATGTACCTAAATCAGAAATATCTTATATGTTTGTACAACTTTCATTAGTTAAAACTTCCATGTTGTGTTTTTAATATTATATTTCTACATTACAAATATCTTATTTGTTTATACGTCTTTTAATGCTTAAAATATGTTATTTGGGTTCTGTACTCTGTGTGACTTTTCTTACTTACAGTGGCCCCATACATTGACCGTACAGACCTTAAGAATGTAGTGGTTCATTCTGGTCAGGCTGTAAGATTTGATGTGAACATAAAAGGTGAGCCTCCTCCGAACATTACCTGGATTTTTAATGACCAACAAATCCAGTCCTCGGGTCATTTAAAAATAGAAATTGAAAATTACCGTACGCAGTTTGTGCTCACCAAGGCTAAGAGAAGAAATTCTGGAAAATATACCATTACAGCCCAAAATGATTCTGGAAAAGATGAAGTAACTGTGGACGTCACCATAATAAGTAAGCAGTATATTAATTGTTCAGTATATGCTAATGCAACATAGATGAGTTTAGAAATTTGAAATTCCTAAACTCTCCATGAGTAAGTAGTAATCTAAAGAGATCAATATCTGCAAATTATACATTGAATTTGTGTTGTTCTTTAGTTTTATCAGAGGCGTAACACTTCAATTTTTGTAGATGCTTATAAAAAGTTAGGATCATCTAAGTGATTAAAATTCATTGGTTATTTCAAGCAATCTTGATTTCATGTTAACCAACTGACTTAACCATTGTAACATTCATAATAAATGACCTCCTAAAATATTTAATAAACTGAAGATCTTTTGCATTTCTAAGCTATGTAATGATGTGTTATTTTTGATATTAGTATTTTTATATACATAATGTAACACCAGTTAATAATTTTCACTGACTAACATTGTAATGTTAACAAGCATCTGGTCAGTAATTCTAACTTTGTGCTGATTTTCATTTAAAAGTATTTATAATTTTTTAAAAATCAGTGTGTTTTATTCTTGTTTTAAGGTAAACCTGGTATACCTAAAGGACCACTACAAGTTTCTGATGTACATGCTGAAGGTTGTACACTGAAATGGGACAAACCCGAGGATGACGGGGGAGAGCCAGTCCAACAGTACACTGTTGAGAAGATGGACATAGAAACTGCACGCTGGGTGCTTGTTACAACAACAAGGGAACCAGAAGCAGAAGTTACTGGCTTAGTACCTAGCAAAGAGTACAAATTTAGAGTAAAAGCTGTGAATTCTGAAGGAGAATCTGATGCTCTGGAGACAGAAACAACAGTCCTAGCAAAGAATCCTTATGGTATGTTGAAAATTTAGATCCAAGTGTGTCAAAAGTGAAGGAAATATATATAGTACACATATTTTTCCTCTCTTCAGATCTGTAGACTTGTGTAGCATCTTTTAATACTTGAAATGACTCTTTCTACCTTATCTTTATTATGCCAGCCAGAGACCTATGCTTAAAACTGCATTGTTATCTTATTTTCTACATTTTCTTCAAATTCTGAAATTAATAAATAAGATCTGATGGATATCCAGGTTTTCTGCTACTGAAGCTGGCTTTATGAACACTGTTATCTTGGAGAGTGTTTGGGAAATGGCATTGTTAACAGTGTTGTCTTGGAGCGTATAGGGAAGCTGACTTTTTGAACACAGTTATCTTGGAGAGTGTTTGGGAAATGGCATTGTTAACAGTGTTATCTTGGAGAGTGTTTGGGAGATGGCATTGTTAACAGTGTTGTCTTGGAGCTGACTTTGTGAACACAGTTATCTTGGAGAGTATAGGTAAGCTGGCTTTTTGAACAATTTTATCTTGAAGAGTTTTGAGAAGTTGGCTTTGTAAACATTGTTATCTTGGAGAGTGTTGGGAATCTGACTTTGTGAACATTGTTCTCTTGAAGAGTTTGGGGAAGTTGGCTTTGTGAAAATTGTTATCTTGGAGAGTGTTGGGAAGCTGGCTTTGTGAACACTGTTATCTTGGAGAGTGTTAGGAAGATGGCTTTGTGGACATTGTTATCCTGGAGAGTGTTGGGAAGCTAGCTTTGTGAACACTGTTATCTTGAAGAGTGTTGGGAAGCTGACTTTGTGAACACTGTTATCCTAGAGAGTGTTGGGAAGCTGGCTTTGTGAACACTGTTATCTTGAAGAGTGTTGGGAAGCTGACTTTGTGAACACTGTTATCCTGGAGAGTGTTGGGAAGCTGGCTTTGTGAACAAAGTGTTCACAAAGCCAGCTTCCCTATACTCTCCCAGATAACAGTGTTCACAAAGCCAGCATCCCTATACTCTCAAAGATAACAGTGTTCACAAAGCCAGCTTCCCAACACTCTCTAGGATAAATCTGTATACAAAGTCAGCATTCCTATACTCTCCCAGATAACAGTGTTCACAAAGCCAGCTTCCCTATACTCTCCAGGATAACAGTGTTCACAAAGCCAGTTTCCCAACACTCTTCAAGATAACAGATCTTGGAGAGTGTTGGGAAGCTGTTTAATTATACATGTGTATAAACATCATTTTAGTCTTCTGGCATTTTAATCATGTAAGGATTATTTGAAACTTGTAACTGGTTAACATATTGCAGAACATGTGTAGTAATTGATATTTATTTCTAATTTTCAGATGAACCAGGCAAACCAGGTAAACCTTCTTCTAAAAACTGGGACAAGCATTTTGTGGATCTTGTTTGGAGCCCACCAAAGAATGATGGAGGTGCACCAATAACTAGCTATGTTATAGAGAAGAAAGATAAGTATAGCACTAAGTGGCAAAAGGCAACAGAAATCATTGGAGAAAAATGTGAGGTTCATGTTCCTGATCTTATGGAGAATGTGGAATATCAGTTTAGGGTTCGAGCCATCAATAAAGCTGGTTCTGGCAATGCTAGTGATCCATCAGATACTATCACTACCAAGCCTCGATTTTGTAAGTGATATAATTAGATAATATTTAAAAAAATGATTTTTTTCCATAACTGTTTCTGCTTATCTGATGTTGACATGAAAAAATAATGAGTATTTAATAATGTTAGCAGAGCCATGATTTTAGTTTCAAAAGTCAAGTTCTTTTTAGCTCTTATTGTTCAAATTTTATTTCTTATTTTATGGTATATGATTAAAATATGGTTCACTAAGATTCATTTGATTAAAAGACTTAGGATAAATTGTTAGTGTGTTATTGTATGAATGGTAAACAACTTTCTTTTTAAACATTTTGTTTATTGCAAGTTTAGAATTTTTTCATGATTTATTCTAATGAGCTTGATGCTAATAAAATTTTTAGTGGCACCTAAACTTGAGAAGATGCGAGATATGAAAGTTCATGCTGGACAGACAATTAAATTTAATGTGAAAATTATTGGTGAACCAACACCCAAAAAAACATGGCAACTGAGTGAAACTGAACTGAAGTCAGATGGCCACATCACAATTGAAAGTGAAACAGAGAAGGCTTTGCTGATTATCAATAATGCCCAGCGTAAGGATTCTGGACGTTATTGTTTGATAGCTGAGAATTCTTCAGGAAAAGATGAAGCATCTGCTGAAGTAATAGTATTAGGTGAGTTAATATGTAACTTAGTAAGTTTTGTACAGAAGAGATAGGAGAATATGAAATCACTTCTGAAGTAGATGCTATAGGTGATTTAGTTAGTAATCCAGTATCATCTGAAAAAGCAAATTCTATTAGAAGAATCAGAAGAGCCAGGAAAAATAAATTAATTACTGAAGTAGAAGCTTTAAGTAAATTAATTTATAATCAATTATCATCTTGAAGAGCAAAGCCTATAGTGATTGTTAAAAAAGGCTGAATTCTATGCTGAAGTAACAGTAATATGCAATATGCTTTTTCATGTTATGGAACACGTTTAACCCTCTCTTCATGGGCATCTTTTTTTCTGTGTATATTATGAGGTTTTAGTGAGTTACCTTAAAAATTTAATTAAACTACTTTCATTTCATGGTATGTTAATAAGTATAGTGTAAAGACGTAGCTAATAATCCATATTTTAATAGTATATAAGTTTTAAGATCTTAATTTTATAACGCAATATTATAAAAAATCCTGAACTTCCCCTAGTATGAGAATTGTGACATTTACTGTCAAGGCATCCCCTCTTCTCTAATTTATTTATAACCCTTCTAAGAAGTACAAAATTTAATGTAATTTACTTGTAATAATATCATCATCGATCCATATTTTTCATAGTTTTCAATCTTATTTGGTTACAAAGCTATGAAATAAATAACCAGACTTCTCTTTCCACACCCAACTCACACATCATCTCTTTCAGAAATTGCCAATAGTTCACCCTGATGTTCAATGCTATAGTATTTATAACCAATAGAAAGCCAAGTTTTTCATTTTTCCAAAGACTTATAATATTATGTTATTTTCTCTAAAGAGAATTATCAAATTTGCTTTGATGAGCTTTGATGAAGTTTTAATGGCTCTTGTCACATAGTTAGAAAGCCATTACAATTGTGATAATTATGGAACATTGTCTGCTTTTTGCAAGTTATTATTCTGTGTTCTTTGGTGCATTATTCAATGAAATAAAAAAATATTTAGTGCAGTACTACCATTAGTATAAAAAAGTAGGGATAAGTGTTGACAGTCGACAGCAAAAAAAGAAGACCCAGGTAGGTACTTTTTTTCTTGTTTTTCATGTGTATTCTTCATTTATTATTGTAAAAGTAACTAATGTGTAAAAATAGGAAAATTTTTATGTTAGTTAAGGTTAGATTAGGTGAAATATATATAATAATAATACAATAAAATTTTTCATGAGGTACACTCACAAGTAGCTCTGGTGTAATGTAATTCAATAGCATAACATGAACTGCACATTCGCCAAGTGATTTACAACTTATAATGGCATGATTAGGTAGACAGGGTTCAAAGGGCAATAAAACAATAACATTTAAGTACAAATAGATGTATACTGTTATGAGCTTAAAGCTATTTAGGATAAACAAATATAGTTACATATTACAATTTGAAGTCATTCTAGAAAGAAAAAAGGGTAATTTAGACTTATTTATATTTTTTTCTGGTTGTTATGAGGTCGGTCAAATTGACCAACCTTGTATAGAGTTAGAGTAGAGAAATTAACAGATAAAATATAAAATATTACTAAAATAAGCATTTGAAATTTATTTGGAAGGTTATAGAGATTACGAAAATATAATTTGAGATTTTTGAGATGAAGAAAAGTATTTTTAATCTTAATGAGAAAATCACATAGCACTCAGACTAGTATATATATATTCACGGAAAAACCATTAATAAAAAAAAACTTCATTAAAAAATCTGATTTTCTGTGTACAAAAGACTTGTAATGTTTACTAAAAATCTGCCAAATTTTGGAAAGATACACAGAGTGTATTAAAAGTTATAGTATGGAAACTATAATAAGTACAAAAGTGGTTTCAAGGTTAGTCAATCTGACCGATCTTGTTGCGAGAGAATTAATAAAGAATGTTCATGAAAAGATTAGGTTATCACTGATGCAATAGCTTTACATAAGTGAATGCATAATTCCTGAATATTTGATGTGAACTTCATTTTTTCTTAATTTGTGCTTACAAAGGAAAAATTATTTTTGTCATACATTTTGTCTGGATTTATTTTTTGAAAGAAAATCATTACTTAGTGGTTTGGTACTTAAAAATACACAAAACTATAGTTTACTACATATATATATAATGTTCATGTAGTGAAAACAAAACATATACAATTGAATTAAAAATAAAGAATTTTATTGATATTATGATACTACTATTGAAGAAATGTTTTTCTAAAATTGCTTGTGTTTGTTTTTAAAATCTAAATCATCTTTGCCCCAGTAACATATGTGAGGTAAGACAATGAAACTGAATTCTGAAAGGAAAATAAAAATCCCCAGACACTAAAGTCAGAACTGACATAACTTTCTTGTTACAGACAAACCATCAGCTCCAGAGGCTCCATTGGAAGTGTCAAGTGTGCATGCTGAAGGCTGTAAACTGAAATGGAACCCACCCAAGGATGATGGTGGGGAACCTTTGGATCACTATGGAGTGGACAAAATGGATACTGAAACTGGACGCTGGTTACCAGTTGGTCGCACTAACAAACTTGAAATGGATGTGGGTAACTTAACAGCAGGTGTGTCTGAAACTTTTTATATCATTTTCCTGCATTATTCCTCACAGGATAACTCCAAGTATTGGGTTTTCGATAAATTAATGTCGTGTTTTGGAACACTTTTATCAACTACTTCCCCAAAAACAGTACATCACGTATAATAGTTAAACGAACCATCTATTATATGTCATGTTAGTGTAGCCTATATAATATATAAAGTTTAGTATACTCTAATCCCTTATAGTGATGGTACACAATGAGATACACATTTGGCATGTAATGCTGTTTTAATACAAGAAGGGAAACAATGCTTCTGTAACCACAAAGAATACCAAAAATGTTTATGGAAATGTTTT